TTAAATATATTTTATACTTATAAATTTTAATAAATTCATATCTTATTTTAAATTTCAATTTTTCTATCTTATTTAAAATTATTTTTATTTCTATTTTATAAAAAAATACACAAAAAAATTACATGTTAAACTGTATATTAATACAAATTAAAAATATAAATGTTCGGAACGGCCCGTTCCGAACTCCCAAATCACGCACAAAAACTACGCCCAGAACGGCCCGTTCTGAAATCAGAACGGCCCGTTCCGAGACTCATCCGAAACGACCCGTCCTCCCTACGGAACGGCCCGTTCTCCCTCCGGAACGGCCGTTCTCCTTCATTTTTGAAAGGCCAAATCAGTAGTTTGGAACGGCCCGTTCCAATTTGGGAACGGTTCGTTCTAGCTACTGAATTTTTTTTTTGAAACTACGTTACAGGAACGGGCCGTTCCAAACTACTAAAACGAGGGTGATTTAGTATCTCAGAACGGGCCATTCCCGAATTGGAACGGGCCATTCCAAAATACTAAAATTGCCTACAAATCTTAGTTGGGAACGGGGCATTCTAAATTACCAAAAAGGCTTGTAACCCTAATTGGGAACGAGCTGTTCTAAATATGACCGTTATGGGTTAAAATGCAATCCCAGAACAGGCCGTTCTGGATGTGAAATTCTACACATGCCGTCAGAGTCCAGAACAAGCTGTTCTGAATTTAAAACGGGTCATTCCGGGCACTCCTGATGCTTATAAATAGAGCGCTTTGGCACTCCTAAAAATCACACTTTTCAGTTCTGACTTCTTTCTTCTACATTCTCTTCTTTTCCTTCTATACTCTTTGAAGACCGAGGGGCACTTAGAGGAGGAGACCAAGGAGATCTCTGTTTTAGTTTCAGCTACTACTTATCAAGGTACGGGAGAAAAGGGATTATTTGTATGCAGAGTTACATGAAGGAATTAGGTAGAGAAAGGGTCCTTAGAATTATGGGTAATTTTATAATTGTTTCTGTTTGAGGAATTGATGATCCCATGAGATTCTGTATGTGTTTAGGATTATGAATATATGATAAATTGGTAAAAATGATGCTCTGGGAGAGAGAACGAAATTGTAGAAAAGTGCCTGTGAGTTAGGTTTTGGAAAAATTGGGGGTTTTACTATTTGAGTTAAGATTCTAGTAAATTGGTGATTCAATTGAGTGTTATATTAATGTATAAATGTTATTGTTATATTATATGGTAAAAATTGATGATGTAGATGAGGATTCATGGTGAATTGCTTGAGGAATATGTGAACCACTATTTTGTGTGGATTTTGTGTATGTGTTGTGGAAATGTGAATGTGAATGTGATTGTGGTTCCTCACACTTATGACTAGAGATGGCACGACCTTGGGCAAGATGCTACAGGCGTGACCTTGGCATAGTATGGGATGAGTGATTCCTCATGCTTATGTCGGGGGAAGCACGACCTTGGGCAAGAGATGCTACAGGCGTGACCTTGGCATAGTGTAAGATGTGTGATTTCTCATGCTTATGTTGGGGGTGACACGACCTTGGACAAGAGATGCTACAAGCGTGACCTTGGCATAGGGTGGTATGTGTGAGGCAATTAATGCTTATGTGGGGGTGGCACGACCTTGGGCAAGAGATGCTACAGGCGTGACCTTGAATAGGGTTAATTCCAAGATTTGTGATGGATTGGTGTGATTGTGAATTGTGATGTGAAGATGTTGCATGATTGATAGAATTATGATATATATAAATGCTTGTAAATACTTCATTAAGTAATGAGTTATGATGAGACGATATTGTGGATTTTCCTTGTGTGCTTTACATATAGATGTTTTCTTTTCTCACCGTATAATTTGTGGATGTTTTAGGTGAGGAAGATCCGGCTATGAGTGTCATCTAGAATGCCAACAGTTGAATTGTGGCTATGCTATGATATTGTGACATCCGGATAGAGGATTTCTAGGACATGAAATTTTTATATAGATTTGGAGTTGTATTTATTATTTTTAAAAATAATTTGTAAGCTCTTATGTTTTATTTTTCCAATGTTCATTTTCAATCATTTTGGATATTGAAGAATATTTGTGAAGGTTTTTATGTGAACCATATTACCAATGTTGAAAAATTTATTTCTTATATGTGTTGGAGTAGTAAGGGTGTCACAGTAACTTTTGCTTTTATTTCAATATATTCTAGAAGAAAAAGGAATTTATTGAGCAACTGCCACAAAAAAAAAAGTTATATACAGTGATTCATAAAAAGTGCCACTATAAATAAAATATATGTTGGTATAAATTTATTTAAGACGTATATATTTACACATAATTTTAAATAAAATTTAACAAAATATACCGTGTGTTGCTAAAATTTATATTTCTATTTTTTAACAATTATGAGAATATATTTACTAACATATATTGTAGGTAAAATTAGACTTTAATATCAAATAATGTTGTGTGTTATCACATGATAATTTTTTTTAGTAGACTCTAGTGAAATTAAGATATTTCATGGCAACAATTAATATACAACATCAAGTTTCAACGATCTAACCATTAAATTTAAAATTTTTAATATATAGATTTAATCTATAAATTCTTAAAAAATTTAAAAATTATTTGATACTTCATTTCATTAACTAAAATTAACATACAATAATTATATTAAATTTTTTAATGTAAAATATAACTTATTAAATAAAATAAATTTTGTAAACTTAGTCTTGAAATAAAAATATCTCACCTCTCTTTCTCTTTCTATATATGAAAATACTTTATGAAAGGAAAAGAAGACGAAAAATGCATGAGAGGACCCGCACATTATTAAAGGTTGGCCGGCAAAGAAAAGTCTAAGCAAGGAAAAATCTCGTAAGGAGACAGAAGCTTTATGTACTAGCCAAGCTCAATTATTTATCCTTCCAATTATTTCAACTATTAAATATTTTCATTAAACATTCTTTTATAGAATATATTTTTTAAGGAAGTTAATAAAATTATATCGGCCAAAACTCATATTAATTCATGATATCTATAATATATAGAATATTTGAATAGGATTTTAAATAAACATGACTATTATAAATATGCGTTTGATTTTATTATCAATTGCAATTTTTATTGATAAAATAGAAAAAATATAAGAAGCCAACTGTGAGTGTGTGATGTGAGAGGCTGCCGTCACCAACTACTTTGATCGATTTGATGTATCATACATGTACATATAAAAGCAGTGATCTTATCTAATCGTTTCTACAGTAGAACAAAAATTATATATATATATTTTTTAAAATACCAAATATCTATATTTTAAAATTAAAATAAAAATTATGAATCCAAAAAATTAGAATGACTAAAAATAAAATTTAATCTTATATTTTTTAATAGGCGTACTACTACTGTTTGCCTTTTAAGGTAAATATTAAAACTATACTAGTTTTTCTTCTTCTTCAAAGAACCTAATATTAATTTAGGATACTTTTAAGGTAAATATTAATTTTAGAAAAAAGTTGATCAAGAAGCCAAAGTATGAGGAGAATGTCACCGACAACCTTGAGAGTGTGTAATATATAAGTACAACTATTTTTTTTTATATCATAATATTAATTTAGAATATTTATTAATTTTGTTGATAATTAATTTTTGTTAAAAAAATTTGATTAGTCACATTTTGTGGAATCTCTGGTTTCAACTATTTTTTTAATACACAAAAATTTAAAATCTTCAATTTAATACTATTACACCAATAAATTTATTAATTTTATATTTTTAGTAAGAGTTATCTCCTCTCGTAATATATCTTAAAATTGAAAATCATATGCATTATTTTCTTTTTCTTTTTCCATTATATTCATAAAATTATACAAATGAACAACGACTTGGGTTGACTTTGTCACTGTCAGGAAGAAAGAAAAAGGTGTTAATATTATAATATTATCTTCGATATATATATATATATATATATATATATATATTCTTTCAGCACCCCTTTTTCCATCTGTAATAATCAAGTTGATGAGCATTCACTTCGTGCAATTAATTTCTCTCTAAAAATGTTTAAGAAAAACACAGTAGAAACGTTTTCTATTACACTTTTTTAAACATATTTTTATTAATTAAAATTTATTTGAATTCATAAAATTTAACAAGTCTCACATTCTATTTAATTAATACTATTTTAATTCTACAATTTTTAATAAACTTTAACTAATAAAAAAGTGTTTAGAAAATATATTATTGGTAATGTTACAAACAATTAAAGTCATATTGTACGTACTTTGCTTTAAGACTTTAAGTGACTTAATATGTTCCCACCTATCTTCAATTTCACATCATATAGCAGCTATTTATACCTGTTCCTGAAGCCACTGAATTTAATAGCTTTAACTATATTGTCTAGTCATAAAATTAGCAATAGCAAGCATGAGGATAAGTTACCATCGTTTCTTCTTCCTTTTTCTCCTTGCTGCCTTTTGCTTTGCTTCCTTAGCCTCTGGTGCCACTCTGGCCATAGATGAAGGTATGTGTAAATAGCTTGCACCATATTGTTTATTAGTAAGAAGCACACACTTACAATATAATGAGTCTTTTATAAGGTAATTTTATATATATATATTCATCTAATAGAAATTACGAAGATAAGATTCTAATTTTGATAGGAGAGAAGAAAAACCTGAATAACTACATGTTTATTATATTTTGGTCTCAATAATTTCATAAAATTTAATTTTTTAATTCTTATAATTAAAAATGTTTCATTTTAATCCTTATAATAAATATCATATTTTTGTTCTTTTTTAATTCTTGTTTTGTTATTTTCATAAGAACTAAAAAGTAATTATACAACAATAAAGACTAAAAGAGAATAAAAATAATGTTTAGAAGACTAAAATAAAATGTTTTTAATTATAGATACTAAAAGGTGTAACTCATGAAACTATGAGAAATCTTAACTGTATTAAGTTTTGTAGTAAGATTTTTTTTTTGTTTTGATAATATAAGATTATTCTTTTCTACTTCTTATCCAACATGCCTCCACATATATATAATAAGAATAAAACTTAAACATATTTCTAGCTCCTAAAAAATTTAGGATAAATTTTTTTTATCTCTCAAATTTAAAATTATTATTTTTAATTTTTAAAATTTTTGAAAACCTTGTTTTAATTCTTTAAATTATTAATAATATATTTAAAAGTGTCAGATTAAAACAATTATGCATTTTATAATTTTAATGTGATATTTTTACTAAAAATAATATCAATAAGTATATTTTATGTGAGAATATTTAACACATTTTTTAATAAAATTTGAATACAAAGACTAAAATAATTTTTTTTTAAAAATTATAATACCTAAAAAGAATAATTTCAAATTTTAAAAACTAAAAATAAATTTATTTTAAATTTAAAAGATTAAAAATAAATTTAAAATTAAGAATAATAGTTTGGTATAAGGTGAGAGATATAATAATTGTATATAGATAGATTAAGCACATGACTTTACTTTGTTATTACTGCAGTGGAAGCTCTGAAAGATATAGGGAAGATACTTGGAAAGAAGAACTGGGATTTCAGCGTAGATCCATGCAGTAAAGAACGTAATTGGACATCACCAAATCAAACCAAAGATAACGCAAATGAAGTCAGATGTAATTGTTCCATCGGCAATGATACAGTCTGTCATGTTACCAACATGTAAATCTCTCATTCTTTCTGTGTGAATTATATTATGATCCACAAATATTGTAGTTTTGCTATTGGTGTAAATTTTTATGTCAAATAACAATTTATTTTGATAATTTTTGAAAAATCAAAAACCCAGTATTTTATTTACATGTACTAATATAAATATACTATAATGAAAGTATGATGTGAACTTTCAGCTGCTCATTGGTTCCGTAGTACATACTGAAAAAGTAGTCCCATCTATATTTTCCTTTGACTTTGAGAACCATCTTTAAGATGTTTGTCGTATTTTTGCAACTTGTTCTTGACACGTTGGTTTGATTTATTTTTTCGGTTCCCACTGAATCACCATGAAAGCAGAGGTATCAAAATCGTGTCTCCAATTTTTGGCTCTAAATGCTGTTCCTCCAATCATAAAATGCCATCATATTATTATTTTTAATTTTAATTTTGATTTTTAAAAAGTGTAATTGGAGGGACAGCTAGACAGGGTTTGGGGACAGGAGTTGGAGACAGAGAATTTTGATCCTCTTACTAGCTAGTCTATATCTAAGCAGTTATATGTGTTAAAAAATATAGGCTAAAATAATATTTTAGTCCTTTATAATAATTGTTTGTTTCAATTTAGTCTCACTTTTATTTTTGGTCTTAATTTGGTCCCTAATAAATTAATTGGTTACAATGTTGGACTTCCATCCAAATTATTTAGACAGAGTTAACTATTGACACGTGGATGCCACGTGGAAGTTACGTAGATGCCACGTGGAAGCTACGTACATGCTACGTGGACGTCAAATTTTTTCATGCATCTGGAATCGGAATGGTGCGTTCTGAAACTGGAACGGCCCGTTCCGGTTGCACTCATGGTGTGTAAATTTTGCATCTGGAACGCTCCGTTCCAGATGCATTATTTAACCCCAACGTGTGCAGCAGAACAGGCCGTTCTGAGACCAGAACGAGCCGTTTTAGAATCCAAAACGGGTCGTTCTGCATTCAGAACGGGCCGTTCCAGGATGCCAACCAACATCGTGTACTAGTGTAGTTCAAAAATCGAAAGCAAACCATTTACACATACACAATTTTTTTTTATCTAAAAAATAATAATTTTAAAAAATAAAAATTATACTAATATATATATATATATATATATTTAAATTATCATATGTATAAAATATAAATTTCGAGGAGTTATTCATTTATCTGATATTTGTCAAACTTTTGTAATTTCTATTTATTGTTTATGTTGATAAAAAAAAATTAAAATTGTAAAAAGGCTTAAACATGTTTTTAGTCCCTCAAATTTAAGATAAATTTATTTTTGGTCTCTCAAATTTAAAACTGTTATTTTTAGTCCCTGTAATTTTCAATAATCTTGTTTTAGTCCCTTAGGTCACCAGTAACATATTTGAAAGTGACTAATTAAGATAATTATGTAATATCAACCGGATTTAATGTGATATTTTTACTAATAGGAACACCAATAGGAGATTTTATGCAATAATGTTTGATAAATTTCTTTACAAAATTTGAATATAAGGACTAAATTAAGATTTTTTGAAATTACACGGACTAAAAATAACAATTTTAAATTTGAGGGATCAAAAATAAATTTACCTTAAATTTGAGAGCCTAAAAACATATTTAAACCTTGTAAAAATTTATATCACATATTAAAAACATCTTTATATGATAAATAAATTAAACTTAATTTTTATAAGATTTAACATATTTATTTATATGTTTTTATTAGTGTTAAATTATTATTAAGTAAGCTTTTAAGATTGTTATGTAACCAAACATTTTAAAAAATGTCTATGACAAATAAATATATAATATTTATAACAAGTATTTTAACAAAAATTAGGTTTAAATCTGTTAAATTATAATATAACATAATCTAACCTAGTTTATTTTCATCCTTAATCATAATTGTAGATATAAAAACTTGTAAAAAATAACTATAACATATATTTATACTTAAAAAAATTATATATAAAATTTTTAATATTACAAATATATGAATAAGTATTGTTATCGCAATCTAAAATTTATGGATATAATCATTAACTGCATGAGTGACATTCTGGAACCAGAACGACCCATTCAGAAACTGGAATGACCCGTTCTGATTAATTTTTCATTCGGAACGGGCCGTTCCGAATGCAAAATTAACGCACGAAGAGTGCAACTAGAATGGGCCGTTCCAGTTTCAGAAAGGGCCGTTCTGGTTTTAGATGCATGACAAAAATTTGACATCCACGTGGCCAACAGTTAACTCCGTCTAAATAATTTGGACGGAAGTCCGACATTGTAACCAATTAATTTATTAGGGACCAAATTGAGACCAAAAATAAAAATAGAACTAAATTGAAACAAACAATTATTATAAGAGACTAAAATAGATTTTTAGCCAAAAATATACCTAAGCTATATTCTTGCATGGATCTTCTCACCTGCTCTTATCTGCATCGTAAGGGTATCAACGATTTCTATAAGTATTCTGGGTATTAATTTACAATATTTCTTAAAATATGAAGTTTTAACCAAAAATATATAAAAGGTTAAAATACTTTTAAATTCTTATAATTTTACTTTTTAATTTTTATAATTTAAAATAGATATTTTTAGTTTTATATTTATCTTCATTAATTCTTCTTACTCTCTATATAATTTAAGATATACTTTTTTTTTTAATTTTTATATTTATTTTTTTTAATATTTTTCAATTCATGTTATTAATTTTTTTTGTAATGTCATCTCTTTTGTATTGATGTGGTAAAAATATTCAATTTAATAAAAATAAGAAATAGAATATCTCAATAATGACCATGACAAGTAAGGGTAAAAGAGAGATATGAAGCGTTGAGAGATTCAATTTAAGATAATTCTAATAAAATAAATTCGATATAAAAACTACAAAGTTGAATATCTTTATTATATTAATATAAAAAAGATAATATTGTAAAAAAATAACAACGGAGATTAAAAAAAATAAAAAATTGCAAATACAAGAATTAAAAAGATTTATCTTAAATTATAATGATTAAAAAAATAAAAAAATAAGTATATGAATTCAAAATATCTATTTTTAAATTATAGGAACTAAAAGGTAATTATATAAAATTATAAGGACTAAAAAGTAATTTTAACCTATATAAAATTAATTAAAATAAAAAATAAAAATAAAAAATATTAAAATTAAAAGTAAATAATAAGATCATTTAAGTAATTATGAATACCATGAATCCCTTATTAATTATTATCCATTCGCATTCATTAACAAGCGAGTACTTTTAAGTTATTTATTTTCAACTTATAATTTATTTTATTCGCAAATATTTTGTGGGTGTAGATATCATTCTCCCCACCCCCTCCCTAATCATAGGACATGACAATTAACAAAAGATTAAAATTAAATTCTTTATTGTGCTTATTATTTTTATTATATATCTTCTTTTTTATTTTAACAATTTTCGAATTATATAAACGTGAAGACTTTTGAAGCAACAAAATCTCCCAGGCACTCTCCCGCGGGATCTGTTCAGGTTCCCTTACCTTCAAGAAATGTATGTAATTCTCAAACTTTGCTCAAATTCAATCACATAATGAATTTGCTTATTTTCTTCAATTGCCATTGCCAGCATCTATGTATTACTTTGCATGAAAACACACTCTTTATTGCAGTGACCTTACTCGCAACTACCTGAACGGTACAATTCCTAAAGAATGGGGCTCCACAAAACTTGTCAACATGTATGATTTCCATGTCATCTTTTTGTCGAGTTGTAAATAATTAGTTCATAATACACATAATTATAGGATAATACTTGCAATTTCTTAGGGATCTTGATATTGTTTTTCTACCAAAGTTAGTTTTAATTCACTTACATCCTCAATAAAGATTGACATTAAGTTTATTGAAATGAAATAGGGTAAAAAAGATATATAACTATATCATATACTTTTTAAGAGTTTATAATTGTTGACAACATGTTTCTTATTCATGACAGTTCCCTCCTTGGAAATCGATTAACGGGTTCAATACCAGTGGAGATAGCAAACATATCCACTCTTCAAAGTTTGTGAGTTTGTCGTTATCCAAGCCTTAGCAAAGAAATATTTTCCATTTCATGTCCGAAATTATGTAATTCATGATTTTAAATTGCTGTTATATAGTCTAAGTTCTGGTTGTGATTGTCAATTATTGCAAGCAATTGGTGGATGCAGCCAGAATTATGGTTGCATTGTGATTGTTTTACATTAAAAAAGCTACAATGTTATGGTGGTAATTGCATTGTAAACCACAATTTAAAACCAACTACTAAATTTAAAGAGTGTTGTAATGGAACTTAACTTTAACTTGAAATGGGTAGGGTCTTGGAGGGTAATCAACTGTCTGGAAAACTTCCTCCTGAGCTTGGAAATCTAACCCAAATTCAAAGACTGTAAGCTAAGCACTTCATTTTATTTGTAATTTGTGCCTCCCTTTGTTAACATCCTTTGGCAATTTGATATCCTTCGTTGATGTTTCCCTTTCAAAAGCCAATACTAGAGATCTAGTTTGATTTCCATGGCTTAATTAGATTGATAAATTATTCTGGTTTAATTTGTTGTTATCAATTATACACAGGCACCTTATCTCCAACAATTTTACTGGAGAGCTACCAGTAACATTGGCCAAGCTTACTACATTGCGAGAGTTGTAAGATTCATATTTTTATTATACTATTGAGTGATGACTAATTCAAAGAATATTGTTTTTGAATTAGAAGTAACTCATATTCGTTTCGTAACCTCTCACTATGCAGTCGAATTGGGGACAATCAGTTCTCTGGGAAGATACCTGATTTTATTGAAAGCTGGACTAGTCTCCATAAACTGTATGAACTCTCCTTTTTATTTTCTTTTATTGGTCTATACTATAATTTCCATCTATTGTTTGAATTATGCAGTCTTATTTCCTAAAGTCATCAATGATTATTAAACTTGGACAGAGTGATTCAAGGGAGTGGATTAAGTGGGCCAATTCCTTCTGGAATTTCATTGCTAGAAGACTTAACTGACTTGTATGTATGAATTTGACATTTTATGGACTAAGCAAGGTTTCAAAATCAAAATTAATTTTATTTGTGTTTACTTAGCTATGATGCTAATGTGATATGCAGGAGAATTAGTGATCTGGATGGATCTGAACATTCACCTTTTCCACAACTTAATAAAATGAAGTTGAAATATCTGTGAGTTTATTACTTTGACTCTTTCTGAAATAAAAATTCAGAGAAGTCAAGCAAGAGGTAATAACATATTGCTATCTATTTTATTGTTTGCAGGATTCTGAGGAATTGCAACATCAATGGAACACTGCCTTATTATCTTGGGACAATGACATTACCAGATTTGCAAAACTTGTAATTGCATACTTTTACATTTGTTTTATTATAACTAATAATTATTGCGTTCCATATTTGTGAGAACATAAAATAGAGAAGTGGAAAGTGAGGGTCATATTTGTTGGAATAACCATACTCTTCTGTATATTTTTCATTCATATATAAAACAAACATGTTAAAAATGACAAACATACATCATGTCATATTTCTTGTAGTATACCTATACATGATAATAAAACACATGTATCCATCATTATTAAGTGTATAAAATTGTTTAAAATCAAATAATTAATAGCATATTATTTACTGAATAAGCAAACATAATTACAGTAGAACTTTACTTATTAATGCAGACAACTATAATTAATTACATCAATAAAAAAAGAAATGAAAAATTTTACTGGTTTAACATTATTTATTACATTGAATATATAACCTTTATATTGCTCTTCAACCTAGCTATTTAGTAGTAGGAAATATGTTTGCTATCATCATATGTACTCATGGTCAATATGTTTTCCTTTTCAGAGACCTCAGCTTTAACCAACTGACTGGACCAATTCCGAGTACCTATAGTGCCTTAAGCCATGTCAATTACATGTAAGAAATTTATCAGATTTTCCTAGCAGTTTTTAATTTTATATTTTCATTCACAAATCTATTTTCTATAATCTGAAATAGGATTGTTAGATAACTAGATTCTTGTAGGATTAAACTCAAGCAGATGATGAGAGTCAAAGTCATGAATTAACAAAAAGGATCTTTGGTTTGAGTACATTACGAGTTTATTTTACTTGACTCAGTTAGCTTCAAATTAAGAATCAAAATACTAACTGATAGAAGGATCCCTGTAACAATTATCTGAATTCAGTCTTTCATAGATATTAATTAAACTAATAAATGGGTGTCATTAAATGTGACTAGCTTGTTTTCCATAATTTTTAGTTATCAACAAATGATATATATATAGGTTCTGTATATATTAAGCTCTTGGTATTCTAATGTAGATATTTAACTGGAAATCTTCTCACGGGACCAGTGCCTTCATGGGCAGAAAAAGCTAAAAGCTTGTGAGTTCTCTTTCAAATGCTTCTCATATGATTCCTTGGATTTAGCAACACACATCATTTGTGTGGTGAAAAAATGAATATATCCTTTGTTCCTTTTTTCTCGTTACCTTTCTAAGTGGACTCTTATTTTGCTCCCCCTTTCTTCCATCCTCCCCAGAAAATACTATATAATTAAAATGTTGCTTTAGTTGTATATTTTATGCTTTTGTCCTTAGGCATTAAGACATGACCACCTAGTTGCACTAATCGTGCTGCAGTGATTCTTGATCTCCAAAAGCATAAAGGTGATCCTTAAAAGGAAAATAAGTTTTTAGTCATTAATCTTTTTTTTTTCTCTGACATCAAATTTCCCTAATGTCTCTTCTCTCCGAAGTGAAGTGAAATATGTGTTGTTTAACTTTTGTTCCCAGTGAATGATTTACTTAATATCATATCTCCAACGTATTGGATGAAAAATTTTAGAAATTTGAATCTTTTGATTTTAATTTTAATCATTTTTTAAATATTATATTTGAATAAGTTAATTTTAACTTTTAAAATTTTTAATTTTTAGTTTAGATAGGATAATTTAATTTCTACGTTAGATAAAACTAAATTCTTAATATTAATTTTTATAAAACTAAATATTATTCAATTTTTATAAATATTAACTATATAAAACTAATAATTTTAAAAATTAGTATTAGATAATATTTGACAATTTAAAAATTAATTTTAAATATTCAATAATTAAAAAATATTGATATTTTTATGTCGACTTTGAAAGAAAGAAGAAAGGAATAAAAAAACAAAGAAAATCTTTAAAGTTTCACAAATAATTAAATTTCAAATATTTTATAATTCTTCATCCAAAAAAAATATTTTATATCAAAGCATTTAAAATTCTTAAAATAAAATAAATTACTCTATTAAAATCTCTCATCCAAACTTACTATATTAAGGTTTAACTAGGAGATAAATCATCTATCTTAATCCGGTGACATTTGTTTATAGAATGGTTTGCTCTTCACTTTTATTAGTTTGCTTGATTCAGTATTTAATGAATACCTCACTTACATATCATAAAGGGATTCGTTTTGGAACCTTTATTGTCTCAACTTTCAAGTGTTTGGTTGTGCATTTTATTTATTGGATTATTGGTTAATGTTCTTAGGTTTTTTTTTTTGGAAGTCCCCAGATGTTTCTTCATGTTGGCAAATTATTAGAGCCTTAATAATCAAATTTTATAACTTGTATGTAGAGATATTTCGTATAACAACTTCAGCATCACAAGCCAATGGAATGAGACATGTCAGAATTTAAATGTGTAAGAATCCTTCCATTTTGTGCATTTTGCTTTCCAATTTTAGAACCTTTCTGAGTCACAATCTTCTCTTAATATGTCACAGGAACTTGTTTGCTAGCTCTATGACGCGCAATGACTCGTATGTTTAGTATTGTAATCACTCATACATTCGTGTATAGGGTTTAGGGTTTAAAGTTATATATATATATATATATATATATATATATATATATGAGGGGAATATAATTGCACCAGTGTAATTTTTACTAAGCATTACACCGCTCAGTAACTTTATATTAATTATAAATTTTGTAAATCCAACCGTTAGATTGAAAGTTCATATCACTTTATACTTGTATATCAAATTTTGTTAAAATTGAACAACAACTTGAAGGTAATCAAAATGTTCATATTTTAGTGTATTGTGTAGACTTAATGTATGCATTAATAAGAACTTTAAATTTAATGATTAAATCATTAAAATTTGATATAAAACATGAGTTATTGAACGAGATAAGTTTAGATAGACTTATTCTTGAATAATTCCTAAACCCTAAATTCTAAAATCCTAAGCGGATCACTCCTTTTATTTATATATATATATATATATATATTATATTATGTGAGGAGATTTATATTGATTACGATGGAATTATGCTAATACATTTTGTCTGGTCCCTCATTCTCTCAGGCGACCGGTTGCATGTTTGGGAAGCTATATCTGTCCAAAAAGTAAGTTTCTATGTGGAGAATTTTCTACGGACTGCTTTGGTGTTCTTACTCAAGCTTTTATTTATTTATTACAGAGGAAAGGAGACCGAAGATCACATATATATACCATGCTTAAGCTTGTTTACAAAATCTTGTTTTATTAAAAGCTTAGTTCGGAAGCACTAGACATTTCTTAACGGTAGAAACCACTAATTTCACAAGGGAGTGTATCCTGAAATATACAAAAACATTACCTTAAATAATCTATACTTACCAACCCAACATCGTCTTAGGAAATTAAAATAGAATAACAATAAAAGATATATAAAACCAATAATGTTACAATATTTTAAATTCATCCCATAAATTCCTTAAGCCACTTTAGTTTTATGATATTTTTGGGTCTTCCTAGATCAATCCTATCATTCATTCATATATTAGAGGTTGACATGGAACTCATGAAGGGTTTTCTACTTCTTTTGTATTCTAAGTTCTCTAAATCAAATTTATTATTTCATGTTAGCTTGTTATCTTTTCGTTTGTCCTGCTTATGAAGTTGGTGCAAACCCTTGAGGATACTTAAATCATGTTGTGTGCCATGGAATAAAATATCAACAAGAAGATATCACTTTTCTTGACTTGCTAGATTTCTATAAGTTAACATGACTCCCTTTTATTTTCATTTTAATTAGGAATGCAAAGGGATAGTTTGACAAAAAGAGAATAATAGACAAAGACAATTTGAAGGAACATACTTTTCTAATGTGATTTTCTTATTTTGCTTGATAATATTTTAATCGTCACTAACTTTTTTCGATTTGTCCCAGAGTTATCATACTATCTTCATATAAATTGTGGTGGCAAGTTGGTTACTGTCAATAGAAGCAGATATGACGATGATTTAGAGAATGGAGGTCCATCTAGATTTCAATGGAGTGGAACAAAAAACTGGGAAATTAGCACGACCGGAAATTTTCTAGACAATGGTGGTGTAGAGTACTATAAGTCGTCAAATAAATCTTTGCTTTCTATGGACAATGCTGACTTGTACATGGATGCACGAGTTTCTCCCATTTCTCTGACTTATTTTGGATTTTGCCTGGGAAATGGAAACTACACAGTAAAACTACATTTTGCTGAAATCATGTTCATTGATGATCAAACATTTAATAGCCTAGGAAGGCGAGTATTTGACATCCACATTCAGGTATATGGTTAACATTCCTTTTTTTTTTTTTTGTTAGAGTTTTTTTCATATAGAAAATGGAAGTGGTTTCTTAAATTCTATTAGGAACACTGTTGAATTGTTTTCATACATGGAATATCTTAACAATTACATAATTTTTTTCCACTCTATGTATACGATCGCTATTTGCCACAATATTTTCAAAATAATATGAGGATTGAAATATTTGAGGTTGGTAATCTTCACGAAGCATTAAATTTTGAATTCAAATGTTAGGGAAAGCTGGTGCAGAAGGACTTCAATATTGTAGAAGAAGCAGGAGGAATCGGTAAGGCAATCACAAAACCATTCACTGCTGTTGACTAGTAATAGCTTGGAGATCCGCTTGAATTGGGCAGGGAAAGGGACAACTAGTCTTCCATATAGATCAGTATATGGTCCTCTTATATCAGCTATATCTGTGGAACCTGGTAGGTTATTATTCTCTATAAGTTTAATCTCATGTTGTGTCATCTTGATATTATCATCAAATGTGTATATCTCTTGTATAATAATCAAGCAGACTTCAAACCTCCCTCGGAAAAAGAAAGAATATCTGCAGGAGTTGTGGTTGGAATTGTAGCACTAGGAGCAGTTGTTATCATCCTTGTATTTGGTCTACTTTGGTGGAAAGGTTGTGTAGGAAAGAAAAGTTCCTTAGAAAAAGGTAATTACAAAGAAATTACTCTTTTGTCATGATTATCAATGATTTTACTTATTGAAACACATGGATTTTTCAATAAAAAAAAAAGGAAATTGTACATGTTGACTAACTTTGAGTATCTCTTTATTTAGTGTATCCTATTACTAGACTAATTTTGAGCCTAGTAACTATCTTACTAAGTTTGAATTGGAGGCTTGTATTAAGTGGATCAGATATAGTGTCAATGTGAAATTTTCTCTATAAAAGAGGTGTTTGACATTTCTTCTACTTCAATCAACAGAGTTAAAGAGCTTAGACCTACGAACAGGTTTATTTTCTTTAAGACAAATCAAAGTAGCAACTAACAACTTTGATGTTGCCAATAAAATTGGAGAAGGAGGATTTGGTCCTGTGTACAAGGTATTTTGCATAAAATAATAATTCTCTTTATTTTCACACATTTATATGACTTTACGCATTGTCTTTTGAAAGTTAATTTTAAACATTCCAATAAATGTAGCATTTCTTAAATATACAGGGATGTTTATCAGATGGGACATTAATAGCAGTCAAGCAACTTTCTTCTAAATCAAAACAAGGGAATCGTGAGTTTTTAAATGAGATAGGCATGATTTCTGCTTTGCAACATGTTCATCTAGTTAAACTCTATGGATGTTGTGTGGAGGGAGACCAACTATTGTTAGTATATGAATACATGGAAAATAATAGCCTTGCTCGTGCTTTATTTGGTAATTCTTCCTAGCTATATGGTTAACTTTGGTTGTCATTTATGTGATTTTTTTGAATTAAGTAGACAACCATCTAATCATGTTGTCAAATTTATATCACTTTCACAAATAAAGGCCCCGAAGAACACCAAATAAAATTGGACTGGCCAACAAGATACAAGATTTGTGTTGGTATTGCTAGAGGTTTGACATATCTCCATGAAGAATCAAGACTAAAGGTTGTTCATAGGGATATCAAGGCTACTAATGTATTGCTTGATAAAGATCTCAATTCAAAGATATCTGACTTTGGTTTGGCTAAGCTTGATGAAGAGGATAACACTCATATTAGCACTCGAATAGCTGGGACATAGTAAGTTCCTATATGTCTTTTGTGTAAATTTTATTGAGAAATATTTTTTTTTGAATATGGTTAAACTAAGGTTCTAAATTTTGGTTCTAGTTGTGATTATAGCTAATTTTTTTTTTTTTTTTTTGCAATCCTTGATAATATAAAAATTAATATAACTACAATTGATTGTAGAGACCCTAAAAAAACCTTGACATTATAGCTATTTTTTAAAACCTTGGATTGCACTATAAAGAAATAAAAATATAGCACTGCATAAAATTAACTTACCTAATTGAATTCAAATTTTCTATTTACCTAATATATTATTGTCTAAAAAAATCAGATATAGGAAAAAAAAACTAAACTAAAACTTGATCTAAGTAAATTGAATGAGAAATTCAATCTCTAATGTAGTGTAGAATTTATTTTGTCATGTATCCAGCTAGCATACATACTGGGATAAGAAATTGTTGTTTTTTGTTGTAGGAAAAAAATTGCTAAGGATTATGTGATCACTTTTTCAAGTTTATGTATAGCTAACAAATTTTTTATTATATAGTGGATATATGGCTCCAGAATATGCCATGCATGGGTATTTGACTGACAAAGCAGATGTTTATAGCTTTGGAATTGTTGCCTTAGAAATCATAAATGGAAGGAGTAATACCATTCATCGACAAAAAGAAGAATCATTCTCTATTCTTGAATGGGTAAGTATTTTTTAGTTGTGTCCATGCCAATTATCTTTGAGAATATTGACTAACTTTTGGTATGATTTAATTTATAAATAATATTGTTGGATTTATATTACTAAACTTTAAAAGTAACATTCTTCGTGTCAACTAACTGTGATTAGATCGATATAAAAGAAAAATGTTAGTATCACTTTTTTTGACATTCTTTTTCTTGAGTGAAATAGTCTTATTGAATATGAGTCTTTTTCATTTGGTGGGTTGAATTTTCAATTTCAAATTAGATAGATGTAACGACCCGCCACGGTCTCTACACTTAGTGAAATCGCAAAATGTGAATGTGAATGTGATTGTGGTTCCTCACACTTATGACTAGAGATGGCACGACCTTGGGCAAGATGCTACAGGCGTGACCTTGGCATAGTATGGGATGAGTGATTCCTCATGCTTATGTCGGGGGAAGCACGACCTTGGGCAAGAGATGCTACAGGCGTGACCTTGGCATAGTGTAAGATGTGTGATTTCTCATGCTTATGTTGGGGGTGACACGACCTTGGACAAGAGATGCTACAAGCGTGACCTTGGCATAGGGTGGTATGTGTGAGGCAATTAATGCTTATGTGGGGGTGGCACGACCTTGGGCAAGAGATGCTACAGGCGTGACCTTGAATAGGGTTAATTCCAAGATTTGTGATGGATTGGTGTGATTGTGAATTGTGATGTGAAGATGTTGCATGATTGATAGAATTATGATATATATAAATGCTTGTAAATACTTCATTAAGTAATGAGTTATGATGAGACGATATTGTGGATTTTCCTTGTGTGCTTTACATATAGATGTTTTCTTTTCTCACCGTATAATTTGTGGATGTTTTAGGTGAGGAAGATCCGGCTATGAGTGTCATCTAGAATGCCAACAGTTGAATTGTGGCTATGCTATGATATTGTGACATCCGGATAGAGGATTTCTAGGACATGAAATTTTTATATAGATTTGGAGTTGTATTTATTATTTTTAAAAATAATTTGTAAGCTCTTATGTTTTATTTTTCCAATGTTCATTTTCAATCATTTTGGATATTGAAGAATATTTGTGAAGGTTTTTATGTGAACCATATTACCAATGTTGAAAAATTTATTTCTTATATGTGTTGGAGTAGTAAGGGTGTCACAGTAACTTTTGCTTTTATTTCAATATATTCTAGAAGAAAAAGGAATTTATTGAGCAACTGCCACAAAAAAAAAAGTTATATACAGTGATTCATAAAAAGTGCAAATAGAGCGCTTTGGCACTCCTAAAAATCACACTTTTCAGTTCTGACTTCTTTCTTCTACATTCTCTTCTTTTCCTTCTATACTCTTTGAAGACCGAGGGGCACTTAGAGGAGGAGACCAAGGAGATCTCTGTTTTAGTTTCAGCTACTACTTATCAAGGTACGGGAGAAAAGGGATTATTTGTATGCAGAGTTACATGAAGGAATTAGGTAGAGAAAGGGTCCTTAGAATTATGGGTAATTTTATAATTGTTTCTGTTTGAGGAATTGATGATCCCATGAGATTCTGTATGTGTTTAGGATTATGAATATATGATAAATTGGTAAAAATGATGCTCTGGGAGAGAGAACGAAATTGTAGAAAAGTGCCTGTGAGTTAGGTTTTGGAAAAATTGGGGGTTTTACTATTTGAGTTAAGATTCTAGTAAATTGGTGATTCAATTGAGTGTTATATTAATGTATAAATGTTATTGTTATATTATATGGTAAAAATTGATGATGTAGATGAGGATTCATGGTGAATTGCTTGAGGAATATGTGAACCACTATTTTGTGTGGATTTTGTGTATGTGTTGTGGAAATGTGAATGTGAATGTGATTGTGGTTCCTCACACTTATGACTAGAGATGGCACGACCTTGGGCAAGATGCTACAGGCGTGACCTTGGCATAGTATGGGATGAGTGATTCCTCATGCTTATGTCGGGGGAAGCACGACCTTGGGCAAGAGATGCTACAGGCGTGACCTTGGCATAGTGTAAGATGTGTGATTTCTCATGCTTATGTTGGGGGTGACACGACCTTGGACAAGAGATGCTACAAGCGTGACCTTGGCATAGGGTGGTATGTGTGAGGCAATTAATGCTTATGTGGGGGTGGCACGACCTTGGGCAAGAGATGCTACAGGCGTGACCTTGAATAGGGTTAATTCCAAGATTTGTGATGGATTGGTGTGATTGTGAATTGTGATGTGAAGATGTTGCATGATTGATAGAATTATGATATATATAAATGCTTGTAAATACTTCATTAAGTAATGAGTTATGATGAGACGATATTGTGGATTTTCCTTGTGTGCTTTACATATAGATGTTTTCTTTTCTCACCGTATAATTTGTGGATGTTTTAGGTGAGGAAGATCCGGCTATGAGTGTCATCTAGAATGCCAACAGTTGAATTGTGGCTATGCTATGATATTGTGACATCCGGATAGAGGATTTCTAGGACATGAAATTTTTATATAGATTTGGAGTTGTATTTATTATTTTTAAAAATAATTTGTAAGCTCTTATGTTTTATTTTTCCAATGTTCATTTTCAATCATTTTGGATATTGAAGAATATTTGTGAAGGTTTTTATGTGAACCATATTACCAATGTTGAAAAATTTATTTCTTATATGTGTTGGAGTAGTAAGGGTGTCACAGTAACTTTTGCTTTTATTTCAATATATTCTAGAAGAAAAAGGAATTTATTGAGCAACTGCCACAAAAAAAAAAGTTATATACAGTGATTCATAAAAAGTGCCACTATAAATAAAATATATGTTGGTATAAATTTATTTAAGACGTATATATTTACACATAATTTTAAATAAAATTTAACAAAATATACCGTGTGTTGCTAAAATTTATATTTCTATTTTTTAACAATTATGAGAATATATTTACTAACATATATTGTAGGTAAAATTAGACTTTAATATCAAATAATGTTGTGTGTTATCACATGATAATTTTTTTTAGTAGACTCTAGTGAAATTAAGATATTTCATGGCAACAATTAATATA